AAGCCATATAGGCTAGATGAAGTTCACAAGCAATTTCTGCTTATTAATGATTATGGTGCCCATGCTTTGATTTGCATATCAGTATTACAGGTGATTTTGCAAACAGATTATTATCTAAATATGTTGATACCACAACCACCTATAATACCAGTAATCCTACATCCATGCCCTTCTTGTAACCTCTGTGAACACTGCAATAACCTTAGTTCACTCTGTATTAGAAATTTACAAAAATAAGAAAGTAAAAATTTTGAAGAAGAATGAAGTTTTTACTGCTGTTGAGGGTTATTCATTACGTTATGTGCTATGTTCTGTATGGATATCTTCTTTATCTATAGTTTAAAGGTAGAGTTTGGTGGTGGTTTTTCCTTTAACATTTATAGGTTAAACATTAATTTGACAGTCAGAAGTAAAGGTTTCGAGCCTTTACCTCTCATGTCAAACCAAGACCATGACTAATAGGAAATATTACCACTTGCTTAAACCCAAAGCAGGGCTGCTACATTGCACAGTTCCAGAGAGTGCCATTCGTATTTTATTCTCTTCTCATGTCACTATGCAGTTCTCTTCTGTACATTGGCTTCCCCAGCGTAGTTGGAATTTATGTGAAAACTCATTTGGTCTAGGATTTCAATTTAGAGGAAAGTACTGCTCAGAAATCAGTGTTGGATTCCATTGGTAGCATTGAAAGTTTTAAAAAAGTTCTGTGGTAAGCTCAAAATAGAAGAACATTTAATATAAAGTAGAAAATATATAGATAGAAATAACCTTTAACAAATGGAATTTGAATCCTGGCTCTGCCACTTGGGCAAGTTATTTAATATCTTTGATCTTTAGTTTCTTCGTTTGTAAAGCAGGCCTGTTAAATTTAATACACATAATGCACATAATGTGGCTAGCGCATGAATCACTCAGTAAATGGTAGTAGCCATAAGTTGAGTAGACCTTTAATTCTCTCTCTGGGCCTAGGCATTTGGGGCTGGAAAGTACACAAGGTAAGGAAGTGCATGATGCCTTGGGCACATAAGCACTGTGGTGTTGCTGGAGGAAAAGTCCAAAGCAGGGAACGGCTAGAGAAGACTCTTCAAAGGTCACTGCAGAGTCGGAAAGGAGAACTTTGTGTGCCATGCTAAGAACCTGTGCTGTGTCCTATAGGCAGTGGAGAACCAAAGAAGGTTTTTAAGAAGGGAATAAGGTCATGTTCATGTTTCAGACCCCTCTGGCTGGAATGTAAAGGGTAGTTTAGAGGGGACCAAGAAGCAAGGAGAGTGCATAGTTGGCCGTAGAGATGTTCTACACAGAGCTAATGAGGGCCCAGCTTAGGGTGGTGGCAGAGGGGTGAGGAAGATGAGCAGTCTGAGAAATATTGAAAAGGCAGGCTTGATTCCTCAGGGAGAGGGATGAGTCGGGGATGAGTCCTAGGTTTCTGGCTTGGTGAGTGGGTAAATGATGGTGCTGTTAACTGAGAAAAAACAGAAAGATGAGAAAGTTTAGGAGGGGGAAGATAATGAATTCAGTTTTCAACACATTGATTATGAGTGTCTGTGGGATATCCAGATGGGTGCCTTTCACGGGATATTTGAGCCTGCAGTTCAAGGGAAAGGTCAGGCGTGGAGATACAGACTTGGGAGTCGTAGGTGTTGTCAGAACAGTGAGAGTGGATGAGATCAGCCAAAGAAAGCAAAGAGTAGAAAGAAACTTAATAAGCCACGGACTGCAGGAATACTGGGAAACATGAATATTTAAGTGAGTGGAGGAGATAAAAGCCTGACAAGAAAATGGAGGAGGACCAGTCATAGAAATAAGAGAACTGAGAGAGAGTAATTGGTGTCACCAAGTCGTATACGGTATTTTATATAAACCAGTCTTTCCTAAAGAAACCTTTAGGAGTCTCCCTCATTAGAGTGTAAGGTCTTCAAGGTGGGGAGCTGTGCGTGTTCTTTCTGTTTGGGACTGTTATTTTTACTGTTCACCAAGTCCTATAGTTGTGGAGGCTCTGAAGAAAAGAGGGATAAGATGATGTCAGATATAGCAGAGTGTGCCAAGGAGATTTAGACTGCATTTGGCAATTTGAAAGCAGTTGCAGTAGAGAAAAGAAAGCCAGATTGTGGTGGGTTGAAAGTGAGTGGGAAGTGAGAAAGTGGAGAAAGCCGAGATATTTGTCTCAGAAGGTAAGGAGAAAGAGGATGGTAGTTTCTTTTGGAGCCAGAGTTCTCTTCAGATTGATTACTCTGATACAACTTTGCCTTACATTTCAGCTGGTATTTTATTATCAGCTGATAGTTTATTTCATGTGTGTATGTGTGTAGTTTTTATAGGTACCATATACATATGCATTGTTTTTAAATGAAGTACAGAGGGAAAAAATTAACTTTTTTTCAAAAGAAATTATGGTTTTATTACATTGAGCCTGTATCTGCTCTGTAACATATTTTGATTAGAGCCAGTTAGTGAATTGCAGTTAATTATCGTCCACCAGCCTTCCTCCCCTGTTCCCTTCACTTGCGAGGTCAGACTTGTCTCACCATCTAATTGCTTTTCTAGCCTTTCTGGGCTCTCTCCCCATTCTCTCTTACAGGCATTTCTGCTAATAAAAATCCTTGCGTGTTTAAACCCATCTTAGTATCAGCTTCTTGGAGAACTCCAACTAAGCTCCAAAAGTGTTTAAATATGATATACTTTTGGGTTAGCCATAGGGTTAGCATGATACAATTGACTGATCATTTTTTTAAAAATATTTACTCTTTGGGAGGTTTTTCTAAATGATTGTGTTAAAACATAATTTGCTGATACTGAGAGTTAGAACTAATTCTTGCCTTCATATTTACTGTCTTTTATACCTATTGTATCTTGAAGAAATGAACTCATAGAATTTTTAGCATGAGAAAGAATTTTAATCCAACAGTTTTGGAATGTGAAAAAGAATTAAAGCATAGTCAAGTGCCTTGCTAGTGGATTACATTCTGTCTCTGATTTAACCTTCAATATAACTAAGGTCAAATAACAAGCTAGCTTACAGGAAGGAGAAGAAAATTCACAGTTTTTCAGGACAAGTATCTGGGGATGGGAACGAGTTGGAATGTTAGAGTAAGGGCTCTATGGTTGGTGTGCTGCAAAACTACATCACTAAGCCGAACTTTAAAACACCCAATGGGGTATTTTTTAGGTTGAAGAAAGGGAAGTCAGCAATGTAAATTAAAAGTGTAAGACTGGAAGTCCTAGAGACTAGGTCCAGAATTCCCTTGTTCAACTACTGCCCCAGCTGGTCATCTGCTTTCACACTACAGGACTGCAGAGTTAGAGAACAGTCCCCAAGACCACCCGCATTTCTGACATCAGTTGCAAATTTAGGTTCCAAGATGACCCACAGGTTCAATAATTCGCTAGGACTCACAGAACTCACTGAAAGCCGTTATGCCCATGGTTATGGTTTATTGGAGTAAAAGGATTCAAATTAAAATCAGCCAAGGGAAGAGATGCATGGTGCAGAGTCCAGGAGGATTCCACCTGCATAACTTCCAGTTGTCCTCTCCCATGGACAATATTGACTCCTCCTGGTTCCAAGGTGTGACAGTATGCATGGAGTATTGCCAACTAGGGAAGCTCACTTGATCCTTGATATCCATAGTTTTTATTGGGGCTCTGTCACGTAGATACTGTCCACTGCTCCATGGCTGACCTCAGTCTCCAGCCCCTCTAGAGGTCAAGCTGATAACAGATGACCCAAAGCGCCCATGACAAATCACATCGTTAGACTATCTGGTGTGACCCAAGACTCCATATATCAGGCAGAACATTCCAAGGAATTACGCATTACCTCCTAGGAGCAGAGGACAAAGGCCAGACCTCTCTTTGGACAAGGTTAAATTCTTTACTACACAGGAGCTGTTGATTTTTTTTTTTTTAACCAAGGTAGTACCTATCTCATAGGGCCAATGAAGATTGAATAAGACACTGGATAAAAAAATTACTCTGGTGTCCACAGGTTTTCTGAGGTTATACATAGCTAGGAATGGCAGAGCTGAGATTCAAACTCAGGACTTTCTAACTCCAAAGCTGACATATTTTTATGTTGTATTGATTTGGATTATTTAAAACTGCAAATTAAAAATGGAATAAAGAGTGTCCATTCTATTTGACATTTAAGTTATTGGTGACTTTCAGTAGAGTTGGAGGCTACCACCAAAGCCGTATTACGGAGAATTGAAGAGCGATTGGGAAGATGAGAAAATGGAGACAGTTGAGTATTTGACTGCTATTCTGAAAGTTTTGTCAAGGGAAAGGGGAAATGAGGATGTAGCTAAAAGGGTTGCAAGATTAAAGAGTAGATTTTGATGATTTTTTTAAAGATGAGAGTCTTTTGAACATATACAGTGACTATCCTAGTCTCTTCGTATATGTTATCTCATTTAGTTCTCACTTGCATTGAAGTAGATATTGTGTTTTGCTGTAAAAGGATTGAGTGAACTTCCCTGTTTTTCCAACTGTGTTTTGAAAAAACGGAGGCTCAAAAAGGTTAGGCAATATTGGTAGTAAAATGGAGGTAAAAAGAGTACCTACTGCATAGGATTGTTGTGAGGATTAAATGGGACGATTCTTACAAAAGCAAGGTGTCAGATTGGGAGCCTTCTCTTTAGGGGAGCCCCATGCCTTCATAACAGTGCTTGGCACATGGTAAGCACTCAGTTAATGCTAGCTATTGTTACATATTTTAAAATTAATGCCCACTTAATAAAAATGGATTTCATGAAATTTGGGGGGAAGCTACATCAATAATTTCTATTCTGTTTCTTACTTTTTTTTCAAAACTGCTTTTTTTCTAGCCATTTAATTATCACATTGGAAAGAAAGTTTACCTATACATTTATTCCTATCCAAATGAAGTAGCAGTTCTACATGAAGATATTTTTACTTACTAACTTTAGGTGTTAGGAGTTCTTTTTTTGCTTTATGTTTTATGCCTTCTTTTTTGCTTTATGTTATTTACTTTTTAACTCTAGAGTTAAACAGCCACCATGTCGAGCAAAAAGGCAAAGACGAAGACCAAGAAGCGCCCCCAGCGCGCAACATCCAACGTGTTCGCCATGTTTGACCAGTCACAGATTCAGGAGTTCAAAGAGGCCTTCAACATGATTGATCAGAACAGAGATGGTTTCATCGACAAGGAAGATTTGCATGATATGCTTGCTTCTCTAGGTAATCTTTTATATTTTGAATATCCCTGCTTCCCCAAAATAGTAATTCAGTGTTATATGAATTATGTTTTGTGTGATGTACAAATACTCCTCTACTTGTCTCAAAAGCCTATTGAGAGATGTCTGAGTGGGAAGTGCCATATGGGGATGGGCCACTCATAATAGGACAAGCCTGCAGGGGTGGGGACCTGGCAGGTACTTGGCCAGGCAGGCTTCCATTCCTCTTAGCTAAAATCTACTGGGAGAATAGCCAACGGATGGCTTGGTGGCAAGATGGGAGAATTTCAAACAAAAACTGTAGCTAATAATATAGTGTAGTTAGTAATAAAGGCTGAGGGCAAGTTATAGACAAGAAGTGACAATAATAAGTGATAATGATTATCTCAGAGGAGGAAGGTCAGTGCTATTGGAAAAGGGAACACAGGGAAGGGGACTTGCATAATTTTATTTATAATTTTTTTTATAATTAAAGAAAATGTAAAGATTTAAAGCAAACATAAACTGCCCTTTGTTATTTTGCTTATATGGGTATTAATTTGTTATTCCTTGTATGATTTTGTTGTTGTTACCTGTTTTGGTCGTAAAAAGAAGGAAGAGAGGGAAAGTCGTCCCTGGTCTCCCGGATCAGCACGGATTTTACAGTTGGGAAGAAAGGAGTAGCAAGCCTAGGAGTTCTGGATAGGCCAGAGTGACTGGGCGGGGAAGTGGGTGTGGCCTACAGTTAGGCTCTGCAGTCTGGAGTGGGTTTCTTTGTATTTTTTTTAAAGATTGACCCCTGAGTTAACATCTGTTGCCAATCTTAGTTTTTCTTCTTCTTCTTCTTCTCCCCAAAGCCCCCCAGTACATAGTTGTAGATTCTAGTTGTGAGTGCCTCTGGTTGTACTATGTGGGACGCCGCCTCAGCATGGCCTGATGAGCTGAGCAGTACCATCTCCGCACCCAGGATCCAAACTGGCGAAACCCTGGGCCACCAAAGCAGAGCTCGGGAACTTAACTACTCGGCCCCAGGCCGGCCCCTGGAGTGTTGTTGTGCTTGACTATTAGCCAGAAATGGCACTTCAAAGGCCAGAGGGCAATGAGAGAAGTCGTTATTGTTTTCTTTTAGTAACCACAACATGATTTTGTTCCTCTATCTTATTTTTATTTTTTCTCCTAATATTATTTTGAAATAGTTTAAGCCCACAAAAAGTTAAAAGAACAGTGTAATGAACATGCATACATTCTTTACCTGGATTCACCAATTGTTAACATTTTGCAACATTTCCTTTATTTGGAGTGAGAGTAGAATCAAGATACTGATCTAATTTGTTGACTTGCAGGTGGGTTGTATTCGCAGTGTTTTTCACACCCAGAGTAGCTAACTAAGTGTACTCTTTTGGACAGGTCACTACTAAAGAAGACCACTGAGGAAAATTGAGGGACTTGGTTGTGTTACAAAGATTGAACACTCAAGCCTATACCCTACTCATAGTAGATGCTCAGTTTTTGTTGGATGAATGAGGGACGGTAGAGTAAGAGGCTCACTTTGGGGCCTTCCATTTTGGGGAACCCTATGCCGTTAAAGAAATGTATTTACCTGGGCTGGCCTGGTGGCCCAGCGGTTAAGTTTGCGCATTCCGCTTTGGCAGGCCATGGTTTGCTGGTTCGGATCCCAGGTGTGGACCTACACACTGCTTGTCAAGCCATGCTGTGGCAGGTGTCCCACATATAAAGTAGAGGAAGATGGGCACAGATGTTAGCTCAGGGCCAGTCTTCTTCAGCAAAAAGAGGAGGATTGGTGGTGGATGTTAGCTCAGGGCTAATCTTCCTCAGAAAAAAAAGAGACGTATTTACCTTTCAAATCAACAAATTATATTAGATGCCTTGAATGGGTCCATTTCGGTGCTTAGCCTAAACCAATTCATTTTAAATTGTTCTGTTTTTTTTGTACCTTGTTCTCTTGACACCTTTGGGTTACACTTTTCCCAAAAAAAAATTGCTGCAAGAGAGTTGTTTTAAATCCAAACATAGAAAAGTAGATCTTTTTAGCTACTTTCACTTATTCAGTGAATCTTGAGATTAATTTTATGCTAATTTTTGTATTGGTATGTTGAATAGGTGTAACAAGTGAGGACTGTGATGCAGTTAGACAGACGCCAACTTGGCATTTAAATTTCACCCAATTCCCAGGGTTAAAACTTATATGTGAGCCAGAATTCTAGATTTGCCTATCATTGCCCTTAGTTGGGTATAATATTGAGATATTTCCTTAGGTGTGATTATCTAACTTACAGATGTTCTTTTCATGGAGAATCATACAAACTTAATGTTAGAAGGAACCTTTCAGATACCAAATTTAACCAGTCTGTTTTACAAATGAAAAAAAATTAAAGCCTAGATACCTGCCACCTTCTCCCAGGTCACATAGCCAGTGGCAGAACTGGAATTCAAACCTGCTATTCCAGACCCTTTGTTCAGTGCTGTCTTTCCTGTACCATGGGGACCTCACAGATGCCTGGACAAAGAGGAGCCCTTTGTTATTCCCACTGTCTGGCCATTCCAGGGGAATTTCTCCCAGATTCAAGGGAAGGGGAGTTCCCTCACCACTGTTGGAACCTAGATCAAGATTTCTCATTGTGAACAATACTACGCAAGACTGCAGTTCAGCAACACAAGTAAACAGCATGTGTGGATGCCTGGCAACCGAATAGTAATATATAATATTGTTCAAAATGAGCTCCCAATTCTAAACCAGCCTAATAGTTCTAGCTTAAATGAGCACCTTAAAAATAAAAGTTTTGAAGCTTATAATTCATGAGCAACTGTACTACAGTTGGAAATATGGATATTTATATTTTTTAAATAACTGGTGTTGAAATATACGTTGGGCCTTCAATGTTATCAAAATTCAAGATGTAATAATTTGTCATTGCCTGGTTCATAGTTTCGGGTATTTGTTTTGTTTTTAATGAAAAATAGTGAAGGAAAAGTTGCAGAAAGTATCAGTGAATGAACATTCAACCTAAGCACAGCGTGCATTTTTATAGTGATATATCAAAGATTTTTTACGCTGTCAGAAATTGTAAATTTTAAAAATGTTCTTCATGCAAGTTAATTGCAAAATTAGTTTCCAGTGATGATGATGTAACTTTAAAAATATGTTAGGAAGCACAACAATAACAAAATATTTACTTATTGAAATTAGTTCTTTGTCCTTAAATGTTAAAATGTAAAACCTTATAGGGAAGAATCCAACTGATGCATACCTCGATGCCATGATGAATGAGGCCCCAGGGCCCATAAATTTCACCATGTTCCTCACGATGTTTGGTGAGAAGTTAAATGGCACAGATCCGGAAGATGTCATCAGAAATGCTTTTGCTTGCTTTGATGAAGAAGCAACTGGTGAGTGCTCTTTATTTATGCCCAGCCTCATTGCAGACTATATGAAACACTTCTTAAGAAATGAAAAAGATTAGTAAAAACAAATTTTTAAAAAATGAATAAAGGGAAACTGTCATTTACAATAGGATGGTATGACCAAGAATGGCTGGGTCACAGGTATATAGGTCATAAAGGTACAGTTTGTCGTGTTAATCTTTAAATTTGGTTCTGAGCTTCCTGAAAGCCAAAGGGAGAATTATCTGTTAAATGGTATCTTAAACAATGAAAACCACTCCTTCAAGAGACTTTAAATCTCACCAAAAAATTTAGTTAACTAACTTATTACAAGTAAAATCTTAGTTTTGCTTTTTTCCTCATTTTAAAATGTGTAAAGCCTGGCTATTCACTTTTCTTACTCTTCTCCTTTTCCCCTTTTCTTCTCCATTGACCCTCTCCTCAGCCACCCACATCACCTCCTCAGATATACCTTGTACCACCCTTCCTGCTTCCTCATCTCTACCTGTCAGAACTGCAGTGCCCTTCCTACGCTTTTGCTCTTGGCAGCACTGCCCTTTTTTCTGGGCCACTGCCTGTTTTTTCTTTTGTATCTCTGAAGTACAAGGTTTTGTTTCTCTCCCCTAGAAACCACTTGCTTCAAATTAATTTTGTAAGCATGTAATCTATTAACTGAGCTTTTAAAATGATTTCAACTAATATTAATGAATGCTACAAGTAATAGAAAAACATAATGATATAGTTACATATTGCCTTAGTTAGTTCACTGATTTGTTTTGTTCATATAAATGTGGATACTCTGAAATAGTTTGTAAGATTGACTTCCTTTAGAAATGAACATTAAAGTGCCAGGAAGTCTTCATGACTCCTTTCTGCTGCCTTCCAGGCACCATTCAGGAGGATTACCTGAGAGAGCTGCTGACAACAATGGGAGATCGGTTTACAGACGAGGAAGTGGATGAGCTGTACAGAGAAGCGCCTATTGACAAGAAGGGAAATTTCAATTACATTGAGTTCACGCGCATCCTTAAACATGGAGCAAAAGACAAAGATGACTGAAAGAACTTTAGCTAAAACCTTGCATTTACTTAATCTTGCTCTGTGTTATTTCCCAGACACTCTTCCCCACCCTTATAGACCTGTTGCATGCATCTTAGTTTCACAGCTTTGCCTCTTTTTTTTCATGTATTTATTCTAGACCTTTCTGCCACGTAGCACTTGTATAATCAGACTGCAAATGGGGATGAGGTTGTAAATTGTGTTGAAAAAGAGATTGCGAATAAAAATCAACAAATGTGAAAGCCCAGGAAAATATATCCGGTATTTCTGGTTTTGCTGGATTTTTACATTTTTATATAATAAAAATGCTATTTTGAAATAAAGATTATGCTGACTCAAATGGAATATAATGGAAAGTGAAACAAGTAAGTGGTAGTTTGGGAGTAGTCCTTTTTTTTCAGATTTTCAACTTCATATAATTCAGATTTTATGGTAAAACTTATTTTTCACATATATGGGACAGTGTTCTTCAGAACTTTTAAGTACAAATTAGTTATGCAGTAAAAACTAATTATGGCTTTTGTTTTTTCATACTTCTAGTAAGTCAGATGTTTAAACTATTGAATGATAAATATAAAGTGTATCTGAGAAAACATTCAACATATTATTGATCTAAAAGTCTAAGAGGGTGAGGCAGAATTCTGAAGAATAGTTATTATTGAACGTTTGCTGTGGGTAAAGCATTGTACTAGAGGATTTTCATTGAATCTTCCCAACAACCATGTAAGATAGATTTTTACTAGCCCTGTATTTCAAGTGGAGGAGCTGAGCTCTGAGTAGCTGAGTGATGGATTAGAGTCACTATTAGGAATTGAGAGCTGGGATTCCAGCCTAGAGCGCCTAACTCCAGAACTTAGAGTGCTGGAACCACTGTGCTGTCTCTATGAAAAGCCCCAAATGCCTAAAAGTTAAGACATTTCCATTGCATTCTAACATAATTTTGTAGTCATTATTGAAATTTAAAATAATTTTAGGGAAATTAATTATGTGAACGGAATTTCAGAAAATTCTATCCAGGTGAAAAATAGAAGACAAAAGATTACAAGCAATATAATGTTTGAAGGCAGTTCATGTGAGTAGACTGCAGGAAAGGATTGAAAAACATATAGACAAGGCTGCCATGAATTCGTTTAGAATCCTCAAGGCCAAGCAGGATGATAAGTAGAAGAGAAAAACCTAAAGTAAAATCCATTAAAAAAAATGTTTACCAAGGTTGTTCAATACTTATTCCTTCTCTTAAAAGTGTTGCATTGGTATTTTGTGTGCTTAAAATCAATGCATTTATATCTTATTTAGTATTTGTGCTTTGGAGCTTGGCGTGGTAGGCAAATCCTGGTCACTTGCTATCACTTAGTTTTTCTGGGCTTCCGTTTTATCATCTTTAAAATGAGGGAGCACTTAGTTCCACTCTCGTGGTCCAGTAAGTGCTCCGCAGTGCCTAAGAGCTTTGACATTATCCCTAGTCCACATGGCCCGTGAGGTGAGTCGGGCACGTAGTCCTGCTTGCTTTTATGAGAGCCGAAGTTTAGAAAAGCGAAAGCCCCTGTCCAAGTCCCTCAAGGACAAGGGTCCACACCTGGCTCCCTTTTCCACTTCCAACCTGAAAGTCACCATGCAGTGTCAAAACCAGGTGGGAATCACTGAGACTGTATGTTTAAGGAAAAGGGAAAACATACTGGGATAATCTTCATCATCATTAAACCAATATTTGTCAATCCCCTGTTATATGCCAGGCACTGTTGTTAAGTGTTGGGAAAAATGGGCAGGACAGAAAAAGCTGCCCTCTTGGGGCTCACATTCTCTAGTGAGAGAGATCAATAAACCATATTAAATAAGTACTGTGGGACACAACTGAGCAAGTGTGGCTGAGGGCCTCTGAGATGTAACGTTAAGCTGAGATCTGAATGACAAGAAGGAAGTCCCCAAGTGACGATGAGGGTAAGGCCTTCCACTCAAAGGGGATGGCTGGAAGGAGCACAGGGAGAGCACAAGAGAAGGACATAAGGATGGTATTTGCTGTGTAGTCTAAGTGCAGAATCACAGGGCTTTGGGTAGAGAAGAGAAGTGAGTCATGTTTTTGAAAACTCAACCTTGCTGCTTTGTACAGAACGGAGAGGCAAAAGGACAGGCAAGAAGGCTTCCAGCTGGGAGGCTGTGGCTGTTGTCCAGGCAAGACATGAGGGCACCTTGGACTCGAGAAATGGGCAAGGAGGTAGCTTTAAAATGCCTCTCCTTGTCCTACCTGTTTGCTGCGCTCCAACTCTGCCTTGTTGCCATCTCTCTGGCACCATTTTACCTGCATTTATTATATTGCTCTGCTTAAAGCCAGATTTGAAAGATCAGGAGGGAAGAAGATTTCAAGATTAAAAACAAGGAAAATTTAGTTGTTTCTTGAGTGCCTTGTATTGACCTGACATATCCCATTCTGTTTCATCTGAGTATAGAGTTGTGGAATCCAGTACCAAACGGCACCTAGGCTAGGACTTGTTCCTCTCTGGTGTCCAATAAATATTCCTGATGACAATGAAAACTCTCTCTTGTCTATTTAATTTTTTCTTTTTTTGAGAACTAGATAGTGATGATTGCTTAAGTTGACAAACTGGTCCCTTGGCCATCGCCATGAGAATGTGTGTGTGTGATCATGTAGTTAAAACTGTACTGAATATTTACTATGTACTAAGCATGTTACATACTGCCCTTCGAGGTAGGTATTTTCATTATCCCTGTTCTATAGATGAAGCACTGAGGAGTAGACAAGTGACTTCCCAGGTTACACAACTGGTAAGCAATAGGGCTGTGATTTGAGTCCAGAAAGTCTAGCTCTGGAACCTGCCCTCCCAGGAAAATAATTATTAGAAATAATACCACTAGTTTCTTACCATCATAGAGTAGATTTAAAAGCCTTCATTATTGCATTTGATCCTCAAAACTCTGGGAGGTGGATAAGGTAGATATCGTTATCCCATGTTACAGGTGAGAATAGTGAGTTACAGAAGTTACCTGACTTCCTCAACTTTGTGTGAGTAGACAGTGTCTGAGCCAGGACTAGCAACTATAAGCTTTTTGAATATGATAGGGTGCATCTCATTAAACCTATAATTTCCTAATTAAATAATTAATACCTATAGCCTGACCAAAATTCTAATTTATAAATTTGTGTATGCTATATATCATATATATGAAAGCATTAATAGTTATGAAAATGAAATGATATTTAATAATACATTTAATGAATCATCTTTCCTGATGAAATAATTGCATAAAAATAAGCTTTTAAATTCAGTCATATATATATATGAATAAATAATAAATTTTCTTGATTCTAAATTTGCTTTTTTAACATTTTAATGTTTTTGAAAACAGGATGTCTTATAATCAATGTATATGTTTAGTATTGTTTATCCTGAAAAGTAATTGTATCAATGTTGCATCTCAAAATTGATGTGTCTTAAAAGATAAGAAACACAGTCTTTGAAACATGAACATATCAACTACTGAAAAGTCTGGTGTAATAAGCCCCGTAAATATGTCCTCTGGGAAATGTGAATGAGGATGTGAAAGTTTATCACATAATGAAATTTTGAGAAGAGGTTTCTTGGACAGAAGAATGGTGAAGATCACAGATTGTACACGTCACACTCTGTACTTAATCTCTTAGGTGAATCTTTTTTATTAACAGAACAGGAGATGTTGTCATATGCAATTTGAGAGACAATAACTAGAAGTGTCACTAGATGGCACTCTTATTCTTAGTACTGTAGTAACTATTCCCTAATGAACCTGAGTGATAAAGCATGAATATGAGTATGTAGAGAACATTAGTTCCTGTAACGCTGTAACTTTGTCAGAATTGTTTCTTAAGGGGAAATAATTGATGACAAAATGTATTACAGTGAAATTCATACTATTTCACGAACCCCTAAATGCAGATAGCAATCTCTAGACTCCTTTTTACACTGCTGTTTTCATTCATTCATTCAATCAATTATTCATTCACTTACAAGTATTTATTGAGTTTCTGGAAAGTGCCAGGATCTCAGCGATGCTCTGGTTATTTTCACACTGAAGTAATGACTTAAAAGTTAAGTGCTTAGGTTGAAAGGAAGAACATGGGCTTTGGGCTTGTCAGACCTGATTCCTCCATTTACAGACTGGGTCATCTTGTGCAAGTCATTGTTATTATTATGACTTCTATTTTAGAGATGAGAAGACTAAGGCACAGAGCCAGTGGTCATGTCTGAAAAGACTTCGTAAAATCATGCTGTATATGTGAATATCTTTACTACCTCAAGAATGTTGAGAGCTGTTTCTATTAGCAGTTACATGCACTATATGCCACACAATCCAGACTTATTAAAATCAGCCCCAACACAAGTGACTGTGGGACAGCTTCCTAAAGCAGCTGTCCCTGCCTCTACCTAGCTCTTGGAAACACCATCAGGATCAAAAGTGAGGTAGGTAGACCTGAAGTGTTTTGGCAGAAGGATACTAGAAGTACGTCATGGGGTGTGTATGAGTGGGCGTGTTTAAATATAAAAAACTGTTTCAACATATCTTGCAGGAAGCCAACCTAATCTTTTACCATTCCCATGTCTACAGCAGCTGAGTTTGCTCCAACGGGTAACAAACTTCCTTTTAGACACTCATTCTGAATGAGCATGATGACGAGGCATATTTCCTTTTATAGATGTTGCTAACTAGCACAGCAAAAATAAATCTGTAAATTATTCTGTAAATAAATTATTCACGTCTTGTAATAATCTGAGTGTAAACTGACAATGGCTCATTTAGGAGTTTGTGCTCATGTACTTTTCTCCAGTTATCTTTTTACATGTGACCTCTTTATTCAGTTATTGTTTATTGAAGTAGACATTATGCCCGAGTGTTGCGGGTGATATGAAGATTCTGATCTTACTCTCTAGAAGTGTTATACTGCCTGGCACTTTGGAGGCACGTAACAAAGTTTAGTCCTCTCCTTTTACCAGAATCCCAAACACAGCTGTGCTTTGTAGCTGTGCTGGAGCTACAGCTGATGTCTTAACAGCTCACGGAAGAGGTCAAAGACGGTTTTTAAAAAATACTTGCTCAGGAGGCTGGCCCCATGGCCAAGTGGTTAAGTTCGCATGCTCCGCTTCGGTGGCCCAGGGTTTCGCTGGTGCGGATCCTGGGCACGGACATGACACCGTTCATCAGGTCACGCTGAGGCAGCGTCCTGCATGCCACAACTAGAAGGACCCACAACTAAAATATACAACTATGTACTGGGGGGACCTGGGGAGAAAAAGCAGAAAAAAAAAAATGCTTGCTCAGACAATAATGCTTGTTTTCTCAGCACTACCATCGTTTGCCTTCATATCAGCCAATTACATAGCTAAGAACTCAAGCAAACACGAGAAAAAGAAAAATCTTGAATTTAAAAGCTATGTTGAGAATATTCAATATTTCTTGCTTATTTTAGAGACAGTTAAAGAAATTCAGTATATTGTCTGTTAGGTTCCTAGCAGATTATAAACAGTTGAGACCAGGGACCACTTGCTGAAAGGTATCTTGAGACAGAAACTCCCACTTCTCAGATTAGACAACTAAGGCCCTAGTCTCTCCAGTCTCCCTCGAGGTATCCAGCCCAGGGTGGCAGAACTAGCCTCCCACCCCAGGCTCTTTCTGGCCTCCACGTCCTCCTCCTCCTCACCCAGTTTATCAGGCTTTTCCCCTTTGTTTTGAAACTGCCCGTGAGTTCAGCACCCTTCCTCCCTCCTTTCCCCACACAGTGGTTTTACACCTTTGAGGCACAAACCTTGAATGTAAATACAGAGACAAGAATCTGTCAACAGAGAAGAAAACAGAGAACAATGCCTACATTCATGGAATAAACAGAGCACTCTCAGAAAACAATCATAATGGCAAATCTTAATCAGTGAGTCTGAGAAACTCTTCCCAAGAAAAAAAGATTTGTGTGTCAGCCTCTCTCCTTACCCCCATTCCAGGTCTTAGTTCCCAGCTCTAAGAGAACCAGGAAGATTTTGCAGCACACGCCTTCTTGAACTATACCACATTCATATCACTGTTTGTCCTGCATTTGTTTGTTGAGTCTGGCTATTTCTTTTCCTGTTAAAAGACAAAAAGAATCTGCAGTCCCAACCTCTTCACATAACATCAACCCAACTAGAGGAGGAAGCTCCCTTTGTTTAATGGGCTTGTCATGCAGAGAGGGCAATCCACGAATAGTAGTTGACTGGCTGATCTGAAGCAAATCCATTGTGACCTCCTCAGGGAATGGATGAAGGCAAACCCTCGGCCAGTCCAAGATGATCACATTGGAAAGATGCACAAATCAAGTCTGGCCCTTCAAGCTAGAAGGATTGGCTGAGAGCTGAGAATAAAGTGAAACGGAAGGTAAATGGGTACAACCAAATTTTTCCAAAGAGGAAACAGCCAAGGTCATTTTAAAGAGATGAAAAATAAGCATGTCTACTCCCTCCACAATCATGGAGATTGAAAATGTTAGCATTCTTGCTTATCTTTTCTTTTGGTGTACATCCATCTTTGTATGCATATGGTTTTTGTTGTGATTTTTGGCTTTTTTACCACCTGTGTTCCAGATGTCTGTCACCTTCACCGCTTTGCTCCTTTGCTTGAATATTTCAAAACAGACCTCAATTTTGAAACTCTTCTGGGGCACATTTTTCTTTTATTTGAAAAGAGGTGTTTGATTTAGAAAATACAAAGATGTTGCTCTACTTTCTTTGCATCTGGGCTAAACTGGAGGTAGTCAGCAAAATGGGTTACCTGCTGACTGGGGGATGAGATGCTAACCAACGAGCAGACTGACCGCAGCCACAGTGCAGGCCATGGGGGAGTGGTGGCCAGGGTGGTGCAGGCAGAGGCCAAGTGCGTTTCCCCAAGTGCTTCATTGTGTCATACAGGAATGACAAGAGGATATGGAAATCTGTGGCCTCAGTTTAAAATGGAATTCAGATAGAGTTCATACCATATTGAAAAATCTACTCACGTAGAATGTGTGTGTTCAACACATGTGAGTGCACACATGTGTATTCATGCAGACATAAATGCATCAAACATCTCCGGAAAGACCTACAAGAAGTTGGTTGCTATTGAGGTGGGAATTTGGTAGCCATGAGCTAGGGGTGAGAGGGAGACTTTTAATTTCCCTGTAAATACTTTCTTTTTAAAAATTTGGAACTTGTGCTTGCATTTCCCACTAGAAATTAAAACATTTGGTAATCATCATAACAAAAGAATATATTCCACAATACTGGGTAAATCTAAAAGTAGTCCCCTAGCTGGCCCTGTGGCCGAGTGGTTAAGTTCGCGCGCTCCGCTGCAGGCGGCCCAGTATTTCATTGGTTTGAATCCTGGGCGCGGACATGGCACTGCTCATCAAACCACGCTGAGGCAGCGTCCCACATGCCACAACTAGAAGGACCCACAACGAAGAATATACAACTATGTACCGGGGGCTTTGGAGAGAAAAAGGAAAAAATTGAATCTTTAAAAATAAATAAA